AGAGAGTCACATTACACTGTCTAGGTGGTCTCAGATTCTCTATATATCTGAGGACATCATTGAACTTGTGATCCTCCTGCCTCAACCTCCCAAGTACCTGAATTTATGAGCATGGACTACCACACCCAGATTGTAATAGTAATTTTATAGTGGAAAGTCATTCCATCAAACAATTGTCCCACAGGACTTCAACCTATTTTTTAGGGGGAATATTATTCAGTGCACAACAGGAACTGTATCTGAAATCCAGCCCATTTGAGAACACAAAGTAGAGCTCTGTTCTCTATAATCCTTAGACCAGTGTAGCAGAAACTCTATCTATATGTAATACTTAGTCTAGTGTAGCAGAATTTTCTCTTTCTCACTGATTCCAGTTTTGGTGAGCTTTCCAGTGGGTATGAAAGGAAAACAAGATAGTCAGAATATGCCTGGTGTCTTTGAAAGAGACTTAGGATATAAATTTCAAATGACAATACCAGCTATTTACCTACCTATTACATAGAGGGCAATCATAGAGAACATTCACAGCCTATAGAGGTTTTATCCCTGTATTATTATAATTCTAATAATTGCTTAAGAATATAAATAAATGCGCCACCTTTTGACATATGGGGAACATGAGTCCCAGAAAGGCAGTCTTACTTCCTGTAGGCTGTACCACTGTGAACAGTAAACTCCATGCACAAGAAGGGTCATGTCTGAAGATTATCAAACATAGTCAGTAATTCGCTTATTTAGCAAAGAATATGTACTCGGTGCCTGCCACCACTGGTTGAATGAATGGGTGACTAGAATCTCATCTACACATCTTGCCTTCATTTTCTGATCCATTTCTTTTGCCATTGTATTGCATGATTAACCACAGGCTGAAGTATGGTATCAAGGCAGAGACTGGGACATAGTCATAACTGTGTCCATTTCAGATTCTCTTGCTCTGTTTCATAACCTTCACCATGATAGTCTGGAGTTGATTCTTGTTTTTGTTCTGTACCCGTTGAGCTGAGCAAGAAGCCATTGTTGTCAAGATATAAAAAATCCTTATGGTTTTACTTAAGTCATATAAATTTGTTTTAAATCATGTTTGGACAAAAGGCAGGCTTTATCACATGAACAGTTCTGCCATGACAGTGTATCAAGGAAGCAAAGAATTTAGTCTGTTGGCTGGGGATATGGATGAGAGATAGAATGCTTGCTTAGCACACCTTGGCTTCAATTCCTAGAACAGCAAAAATGAAATATTAAAATAAAAGAATTCAGTATGTTCCTTTCATGTGTCTGAGATGGAACATTGACATCTGTATTAGTTTCTTTTCTATTGCTGTGATAAAACATTAATGACCAAGGCAACTTATAGAAGGAAAGGTTTATCTGGATTTAAAGTCCCACAGGATTAGAGTTCATCACTGTCACAGTGAGGAAGCATGGCAGCAGGTACATAGGGAGACCTGGAGCAGCATGCTAAGAGCCCACATCTTAGACAGCAAGTGCAGAGCAACTAAGAATGAATGGTCTAAGTGTTTAAACTCTCAAAGACTGTCTCCAAAGACACACTTCCCCCTGAAAGATCACATGCCTAATCTTTCCAAACAGTGCCACCAATTGTGGACTAAGCGTTCAAACTCCCATGAATGAGTATGAGAGTATGGGAGACATTTCATTCAAACTACTATGCATCCCCCCTACTATTCCAGTTCTCCATCAGCAACACTAGAGGGTCCAGTGTGTTTAGCCTTGCCAACAAGGTTGCATTAACAGGCTATTTTCTCAGGAATAATCCAAGTAACTGGAAGACAAAGAACACAAGCTTCCAGAGCAATGAGTGATGTAACATCCACAAAAAACAATGAGCAGAGCAAGGAGAGCAATACTTTGTAAAATTCTGTAAGGGCAGGAGTTACCCATTTATCATATAAACAAATTGAGGGACAGAAAATCTTAAACCAGAGCTTCTTGATCTTTTACTACATGGGGCCCTTTTTCATCTGAAAAATTTCACAGGAACCTAGGTATAAAAATAAGTATACAAATTAAACATTTATCGATAATAAATCATAAAGAAAGTTTAAAACAATTCCTTGGTAAGTATATCACTTTATTAAAGAAGAAGGCAAATTTGCATACTAATAAGATGGATGTCTTTGTTTATTTTTACATAAAGAATTAAATCTTGCCTCAACTTTTAATATGTTAAGGCATGGAGTATCTTCAGTGTAATAAATGTTTTGATTTTATAATCATCAGTCCTGAGAGAACAGCTTCGCACAAATACATAGAGCAAAGCAGCAGACATACTCTTAGAGCCATTGCAGAAGCTGTGAGAAATTCTATCCCAGAGTCAACAAGATGGCTCAGTAGATCAAAACACTTGCCATGCAAGCCTGACAACATGAGTTCAATCCCCACAGTCTACATAGAGGTGGCAGGAGAGAACTAACTCCATAAAATAGTTCTCTTATCTCCACAGATGTACCATAGCTTACATGAACATACCCACACATTGCATGCACACGTGCACATACACAAATTTGAAAATGTTTTAATTTTAACATATTTACTAATTTAATTTTTACATTCCAATTCCAGTTTTCTGTCCCTCCTTACCTCTTGCTCCCCCTGATTCTCCCCCACCCCACCTCCCACCTGCTCCTCAGAGAGGTTAAGACCTCCCCTAGGAAGTCTACTAAGTCTGTCTCATCATCTTGTTGAGGCAGGACCAAGGCACAACTCTACCTCCCCACATCCCAGTGTCTGTCTAGGCTGGGCAAGGTGTCTCTCCATATAAAATGGGCTCCACTAAGTCAGTTTGTGAATTAGAGTTAGATCTGGGACCTAACTCAGTGGCCTCATATATTTCCCCAGTCACATCATTGTCACCTATATTAAGGGAGTCTAGTTTGGTCTCATGCAGGTTCCCCATTTGTCAGACCTGAGTCAGTGATCGCTCACTAGCTCGGATCAGCTGGTTCTGTGGGTTTCCACATCATGGTCTTGACTCCTTTGTTCATATTATCACTCCTCCCTCACTTTGATTGTAGTCCAATAGCTTGGCCCAATGGTTGGTTGTGGATTTCTGCATCTGCTCTCATCTGTTTCTGGAAGAGGGCTCTAGTTTCTCTGGGGTTGTGGATTGTAGGCTGAGTATCTTTTACTTTATGTCTGCTATCCACAAATAAGTGAGTACATACTATATTTGTCTTTCTGGTTCTGGGGGAAAATGTTTTAATTTTTAAAACTCAAAATCAAAAGTCAAAATTCATTCAACTTTTCAAAATATAAACCTCAAGTCAGTAACTCAAACAGCACTTTTTTAAAATTATTTTTTATTTAGGTTTGAAATCAAACACCACTTTTTATTTTTAGTTTTGTGTACATGTGTGCAGATGCCCACAGAAGCCAGAATTGTGCTGGACCCCCTGGAGCTGGAATTATAGTCAGTTGTAAGCAACCTACCTGGGTCCTGGGAAGTGAACTCTGGTCCTCTGAAAGAGCAACAAGCATTCTTAGCCAGTGAGCCATTTCTCCAGCGCCTTAAACACCAATTTAAAAAAGTAAACACTCTAACATGATACAATCCAAAGATGTATTAATATGATACTTATATGCTGAAGTATGATCGTAGAGATATATTGAAAGTTTTTTTTTCACAATTTAACAATTATGCCCAGCTAGGTATGTGGCACATGCCTTTAATCCCAGCACTCAGGAGCAGGCAGATCTCTATGAGTTCAAAGCCAGCCTGGTCTACATAGCAAGTGTCAGAACAGCCATGGCAACATAGACCCTGACTCAACAAAACAACTATTTTTCTTTAAGACTAGAAAACTTTGTATATAGTAAATACACAACAGTCCATAGCACAAAAATGAATACACCATGCTCACTTGCATCCAAGCTAAGGTGTTTCAGGCAGCAGTCATTGTGGTGCTGCCTGGCATGACAGCATGTCTAGTGCAAAGTATGTCCTTTGTACACATACAAGCAAACTTCAAGGAAGTTGCTGATGCAATATAGGCAACTGCTGCCAGATATCCCAAATTCATTGTATGTTTGGTTTTAAGCTTGTTTTGTTTTGAGCCAGGTGTCTCATGCAAGGTTGGCCTCAAACTTACTATGCAGTCAAAGATGACTTTGAACTTCTGATTCTCCTGCTTTTTCCCTCCCTAATGCTGGGTTAACCGGCAAGTACCACAGTGACTTGTTTAATGCAGTAGTGGAAATCAAAACCAGGGCTTTGTGCATGATAGACAAGCACTCTACCAAAGGAGCCACATCCTTAGACCCTGGGTTTGAATTTTAACAGCTGTATGTTCAGAAACATTTAACTGTTGCCAAATTTGCCTCCAGGGCTCACACTGGGTCAAGACTAACAGTTTTAGGGATTATGGTTTAGATAACTTGTCCAAGATCATATACTAGTAAATGGCAAAATTACTCAGGTTGTTTGTAACCTAATATAAAAATATGAATGAGACAGCATCCATCAACTGGGTTGCATAAGCCAGATAAATGTGCTGAAGATGTTTCTGGGAGGTGCATGCATTGTATAAGACAAAGATGCGGCCTCCGTAAGGTCATGTGTATCTGGAATCTGACAGCCTGTGACAGATATTCCCATTCCCAATCCTTATCCTGCTCAGCACAATCACCTTTTCCCAAGAAAGGCTCAGACCCTGTCCATCTCCTCTTCTCTCCCATATCATAGAGGAAGTAGCAAAGGACTGTTTTGGCCTTCCAGCTTCTACTCTAACTGCACCCTCTGTAGCTAGCTGAACTGCTCCCCCTTCAAGTCCTTTACTTCAGGAGGCAATGTCTCATGCATCTCTCCCTCCAGAGCACAGCTGCCTCTAAGCCTAGAGAAACCCTAGGCTGTGTAGGATCTCACATCTCAGATCCATGGCCTCACAGCTTCCTGACCTCTCTTTCTTCTTCCCACCATATGCTTCTTTTCGCATTGAAGTTGTTGAAAGTGCTTAACCTGACTCTGTGGTTTTTCCATGCAGGGAGAAGAGTTGTCTTAATCAGATAGAGAATCTTCCCAGTCTGTTCATGTCTCCAGCAACTGATAGCTTCAATGGAAACAACAGATCCATAGATTACAATAAAGGAAGTGTGCATGCATCCTCTGTTTTAGGGGTTTTCTTTTGTTTTTGTGGTTAGGGACTAAACACAAGGCCTCATGCGTGACATACAAGCAAAGCACTCTAGAACTGTCCCACTTTCATTTCTCTTGCTGTGATACAATACACTGATGGGGGCTCACGAGATGGCTAGCACTGCTTATGAGTACTGGCTACTCCTCCAGAGGACCTAGGTTGGATTCTCAGCACCCACATGGTGGCTTAGAGACATGCATAACTCCAGTTCCAGGGATCTAATATCCATTTCTGATCTCCATGGGTGCATGGCACAGACATAAATGTAAGCAAATCACCCATACAATAAAAATAAATAAGTCTGCCGGGCGTTGGTGGCGCACGCCTTTAATCCCAGCACTCGGGAGGCAGAGGCAGGCAGATCTCTGTGAGTTCGAGGCCAGCGTGGTCTACAGAGTGAGTTCCAGGACAGCCTCCAAATCAATACAGAGGAACCCTGTCTCAAAAAACCAAAAATAAATAAATAAATAAATAAATAAATAAATAAATCTTTACAAGTAAACCAAAAGTACCCTGACCAAAGCAACTAAGGGAAGAAAAGGTTTCTTTAACCTTACAATTCCATGTCATAGTCCATCACTGTATGGAAGTTAATCAGCTAGTCATACCACACCCACAATGGAGAGTACAGAGAAATGAACATGCACATGCGCACTTACTCACTTGCTTACTTGCTGGCACTCAGCTTGATCTTTCCACTCATGCATTTCAAGATACCCTGCCCAGGGAGTGCTGCCGCCTATGGTGGTCTGGGTCTTCCCAAACAATTAACTGAATTATCACAACCCCCAACAGACCTTCCCACTGGCCAACCAAGATTCCCTTTCCAGGTGACTCTAAGCTATCACACTCCACCTCTAGTCAACTCAACACACAAATGCATTACTTTTAAGTCATATCATTTCATTCCTTGTGCCCAGAGTCTCTTTCTCATAGTGCAAAACACAGTCAAAATGAATAGTCCAAAGTCTTTTAAAAAGCAACAAGACTCTTGATCCAGACTCCCTGAATGTAGTGTCAGTGAGGAGGCCTCAGCAATCTCTGGGGCCTTGGGTAGTAGATGAGTGTTTACCATGGCGTACGAATGAACTTTGGGAGCCCATTCCACATGGAGGGATGCTCTCTCAGCCTGGACACATGGGGGAGGGCCTAGGTCCTGCCCTGGATGAAATGACAGACTCTGGAGATCCCCACAAGAAGGGCCTCACCCTCCCTGGAGAATGATGTGGGAATTGGGTGGGGGCTGGTGGAGGGGTAAGGGAGGAGGGGTAGGAGAGGGAGCTGGGATTGACATGTAAAGCATGCATGTTTCTAATTTAAATAAACATATATTGAAAAAGGAGGGAAAAAAGCAACAAGTCTCTTAACTTGTGTGCTCCTATAAAACAAAAAATAAGCTATAGCCTTCCAACATGTAATGGTACAGAGCAGTCATTCCCGCCTTAAAAGTGAAAACTTGGAGCAACACAAGAAACAGTCAGATTAAAACAAAGCCAAAATTCAGCAAGGAAAATGCCAAATCTTGTAGTGCCAATGTCCAGCATCTGGGGCTCATAACATAATTTTGTCACCAGGGGGCTTGGATAGCCCCGTCTGTCCTTATCTAGCACCTGGCATGCACACACGCTTCTCTCTTGGGCATAACCTAACTCCACCTTACACCTTCAGCCTCCCTTAGTGAGCATCCCATGACCTGTCTGTATCATCTCTAGTACCCCTAGTTCTCCATTGGAACTGAAGGTTTTCCTTTCACAGGCCCCTACAATGACTTCTTAAGGCCTCTTTCTCCAAGGACTCTGACCAGGTCACAGGGCACAAGACCTGAGATGTTCTCCACAACTTCCTCAATCTTGCATCTTTCATGCCTTCAAAACCAGAGACATGTGGACAGTGCTTATGTTGCTACCTTCTGCTGCAGGCTTGACATGTAACCCAGCTCCCGGGTGCTGGCCCTGAGAACACACTTTCCTGTTGTCCCAGTGCAGCACTGGAGGCTTTACTGTAGGGATGCTGATGTCCTTGATAATGGCAGCTGCTTGGTCATCCTCAGCACGATGAGTACACACAGAACATTGGCCGAAATATCAATCAAATAGCCCTTACTCTTTCCAGGCATGGTAGCACAGATCTTTAATCCCAGCACCCAGGAGGCAGATGCCTCTGTTCATTACAGAGTCTTTGTTTCTAAAATTTCATGAGCTAGGATTCCACTGCCTGTTAGGGTTTCTGTCCTCGAAGACCCCACAAGAAAAAAGTTACAGTCAGGGTCGTCACAGCAAAGGCCCCTCTTCCTTGCTACAATTTTCTGTCCTAGTTTCCTTATGTTGCTGTGATAAAAATACCTCACACAAAGCAACTGAAGGAGGGCATGATAGCATATACCTTTAATCCTAGCACAGAGCTCTTTGATTTCCAGGCCAACCTGGTCTATGTTGTGAGTTTTAGGTTGGCTAGGGCTACATGGTAAGATTATGTCTCCAAAAGAAAAAAAAGCAACTAAGGGAAAGCAGGTTTGTTTTAACTTACAGTTCGAGATTATAGTCCATCATAGCCAAGAAGTCTCTGCAGCAGGGACTCGAAGTAGCTAGTCACATCGTATCCACAAGTCAAAAGCAGAGATGAATGAATGCCTAAATTCTCACCCTCCTGTCTGTATTCAGCTCAATTTCTCCACTCTTACACAGTTCAGGATCCCCTGCCTAGGGATGGTGCTGCCTGGAGTGGGCTGGTTCTTCCCACACCAATTAATTAAGCAACCTCCCACACATGCATGCCCACAGTTCAACTCAATGTAGAAAATCCTTCATTGAGACTATCTTCCCAGGTGATTTTCAGTTGTGTCAAGCTGAGAAAGCTAACTATCATAGTTAAATGACATCCCCTGCTTTCTCTCCTTGAGAATTAGAAGTACAGACTTAGAAATCAATTTTCATTTTCCATCTTAATGTGTGAGGCTGTTGATGTTGCTCATTGGTAGTGTTGCCTAGCATGTTTGAAGTCATGGTTTCACCCATGGTACTCCTACCCTCCAACACGCACTGAGTCAAGGAGTGGACAGACTTGGCGGCACAGGCCTGTAGTATTTGGAGACTGAGACAGGAAGATCACTGTGAATTTAAGGTCAGTCTGGGCTTTTCATTTTCATTGTTTCAAAATGTCCCTTTCTGTGTTTTTTTTCCTTTTGAGTATGTGTGTGTGGTGTGTGCATTTGGATATGTGTGCACAGGCATACTCATCCATATGGCTGCATTTGGAAGACAGAACTTGAGGTTAGGATGGCCTCAATCACTTAGAAAACACATTAATCATGAGTGTTCATGTGTGAGCTCAGTTGCCCAAGGAGCACAAAAGGGAGAACTGGATCCCCTGGAGCTGGAGTCACAATGGCCTGTGAACCTTCCTGTGTGGCTTCTGGGAACTGACTTCAGGACCTCTGCTCTCTGACTGCTGAGTCATCTCTATCCTTTCACCTTAGTCTTTGAGACATGGCTTAGGACTGAGCCTAGAGTTTATCATTCTGGATAACCTGTCTGGTCAGCAAGCTCCCAGTAGTCACGTCTCTGTCATCCTGTGGTTACACATTTATGGCACCATGCTTGTTTTTAATCCACGTGTTGGAAATTGGAACTCGGGTCCATATGTTTGCTTGCACAGTAATGATTTTCTCCACTGAGCCATCTCCCTGTGTCTTTTTAACTTTTCACCTTGAAATAATGTATAGATTTACAAGAAGTTGCCCTTTACCAAGTCTTCCTCAATAAATACTTTGCACACAACGATATATACTAGGAAGGACATATGCTGGAACATTTGACATAGGCACATTGTGTGCCTACTTCTGTCCCATCTTATTCCATGTATAGATTTGTTGTGGACCTACCAATGCAATCAAATCTTAGCTATTCCCTCACTACAAAGATCTCCCTCATGTACCCCTTACTGCCATAGTCTTCTCCTACCGCTCCTCCACTAGCTCAAACCCTGCTATTACTTTATGTTTCACTTCTATATTTTGATACTTTAAAGTACAATTTCCTAGTATGGTAATACATACCTATAGCCCCAGCACTCAGGTTGAGCCTGGAATATAATAAATTTAGGGCCTGCATGGATAGGTTACACAGTGATATTCTATTTCAAAAACCGACAGCCGGACTCCCTCAAGCCCCCAAAAGGTAATTACTCAAGAAAATGGATCAACATCCCTAGTTTTAACAGACTCTCAGGCTCAATGCTATGGATTTTCCACCCTTGACATGCACCTATCCCTTCTGCAATGTCCTTGCTGAACGAACAGCTGGCTGTAAACCACACACAAATTGCAACTGTCCTATCAAGAAAGGAGATGCTCTGAAAGGAGACTCTTATGCCTCTAGCTATCAGAACTGAAATTTTCCCAGAAATTTCATACTGGGGGCAAGTAAAAGGCAAGACTTGGCGCTCACAGGATGAGGAACTTGCCTGTCAGGAAGGGACTTCACACAGTTCTGGCAACTTATCAGACCACCTTGCAAGACAGACGAGGAGAGCCAGTTAAGACACTGGGTCAGCCAAGAGAGATATGCACAGTATCCCAAAGAAGGGGAATGGGACAGGATCTCCTGAGAGGATTGGAAGCAGGGGGGGAGGAGAGAGGGAGCTGGAAAAAAGAGAGGGGGAGAAGAGGAGGGGACAGGAGGACATGGGGGAGCAGGAAGGTTGAGTCGGGGGAAGAATAGAGGAGAGCAGGATGAGAGAAACCATAACAGAGGGAGTCATTATAGGTTTGAGGAAAGATCTGGCACTAGTGAGATTTCCACAGAGCAACAAAGATGATACCAACTTGCAAACTAAGCAATAGTGGAGAGGCTACCTTAAATGCCCTCCCCGGATAATGAGTTTGACACTACCTTATATGCCATCCTAGAGCCTTCATCTAGAGGCCGATGGAAGCAGAGGCAGATCACAGCTAAACACTG